GGGGGGGGGGGGGGGTCTGTGGGCGACGCTCCGTAGATCATTGATGGCGAATAGTAGGCCCGAGCGCCTGATGATGACCGCCGTCGCTGTTGACCGCCAGGCAATTGTTGAAAACCACTTCAACCGTGCTTGACAGCCGCTTCGTCGGTGCACCCAAGGGGTCCTGGCTAACCATCGGTGGGCGACCGACCTACCCAGCCGGTACGACCTTGCCCTGCTTTGCTGCACCAGCAGGTGCATCCTTGATGGGGAATAAGTGCATCAATTGACATTCAAAGACGACACCAAAAGCGAATTGTAGTGGATTACTGGTCAAGATGGAGGTTGCCCGTCTCTGTCGACCATCATTCTGATTCGTGTTCTTCGCACGAGGCGTAGGCGTCGATTGACCACCATCACTCTGAGTAGATCGTCAGCTTTATTGCGACCATGGGACAATCGCTCGCTGAATAATGTACTGTTCTGGCCCGGATAAGGAGGGATTTCTTCGTTGACTTCGACGTTTAGCTTGTGAGCGGCTTTGGTCTATGGGCTGAGGCGTACCTTCCTCTCATGCACATGTACAGTAGCAAGGTTAGAGCAGCAGTGAACGATCTTTTGTCTCCGACACGCGTCTGGCGTGTCGAATGGTATACAATGACGCGAGAAACCTTCACCTCCAACGACGTTCAGCCTACCGGTACCTGCATGGTCGAATTTCTATCGCCCGTGTCGCCCGACGTCCGGGAATCCAGAGGCAGCAGCGACAACGCCACCGGGATAAAGGCCACACCGTGGAAAAACTGGAGAGATGCCACGGGCGGCATGCAGCGATCGGGACGTGCAGAGGATGCAATTTTCAGGAATATTTCTGCACTTTTTGCCTGCATGGCTTCATATGTCCCACCCTGGAACTGCCCATCGAAGCGAAATCAAGGCCCACGTACAATCGCCGCGAAACAAGCGTTGGCACAGAAATATGACGTGCAGTCAGTTCAACAACAGTTTTTACCGACTACCCTTGTTTTCAACGACAGTACGGCAGAAATAGTGCTCGAGCGGCCATGCGATCACTTCAGGCGTACTTGTCGAGGTACCGGTGGTGGCGTTTAGACCCACAATTTGACGAAGACCCTTGCACTAATGGGACTTGCGGGTTGTTGGCATTCACGAAACGAAACCTTTCCTAACAGGGCCTTCGGGTTGTACTATCTTCGATGGCAGCGTCTACCTACCTTAGACGTGTTTTGGGTTGTCCCTCCAAATAGAAGAGCTCTCGTCCGTGGTACGCAGCATGTTTAGACTGCGGCAGATGCCTCGAGGCCAATAGTCTACTCATGGGGGGTACTTTGTAGGAGAGGCTCTGCGTCTTACCCCAAAGCCGATGATGATCAGAAACATCTTGAAAAAAACTCGGAAAACGTGGTTGGCCGCAAACGCCATCGGCGTGATTCCCAGGAATGTTGTCGCCGCTCCAACTACCACAGACGGGCCTATCTCGCCGAGTCCATCCGCTATCCGGACGTGTTTGTCCCTGTCGGGGTCCTGGCATATTTGTTGTGGAAACGAGCAGTGGGGTAATCGAACGGGGGGGATGCGACACTGTGTTCGTTTGTATGTAGATCTTAATGTTGTTTGTCGCTGTTTTGCTGGATGGACTCATGAAAGTTTCACAATAACCTTTGAGAACGTTTGAGTTCTTGGTATCCTTCCCAGTGATTTGTAGTGGTGCGTTCGCCCGAATCGTTGAGCCAAGAAAACAACAATCTCTCTGAGCGTCGGACAACACTGCTTTGTGTAGCTGGTTTGAGCAACTCCTCAACGGGCACACAGTGGATTGCTTTCGACAGAAGGTAAAGGAGGAGACGGACAAACAGAAATCCAGGCGACACCCCGAGATACGGCACGGTTACGATCCACAACCGGGGTCAGAACATGGACAAGGCTACATGATGGCAACAATGTGCGACATAGAACGAGAACGGTAGCGTCGGACACCCACAATAGATTCACCTGGTGCAAGAAATAGTGAACGATGTGGACCATGTAGTCCACCACCAGTCCTACGGCCATGATCAACTCTTCGGGTGCACACGTTACAGCGCACAGAAAAGTAATGGACGGTTGTATTGCCGCCGCGTTAGGCATTCTCGTAATTTTTTAGCGTGTGCAGTCCCGTTCAGGTATGCCCAGCGACCAGTATGATTCCGCTTACTCGTGTCAAGACCGACGTCTACGCTAGCACGGCCTCGCGCACGCTCTATTCGGCTTGCAGTCACGCACGCGACCCGAGCCCCTGCACTTCCTTGCGCGGCTCACAATCCTAACGTCACTCTATTCGAGCCTCGAGAAAGTCATTCGTCTAGATATTTTGTGGCTCGAGTAATGGGGTTTGCTCGTACAGGTGTAGTGGCACCGATGTGGATAGCGCAAGCGAAACCCGGGATGCTCATGGTTACGTAGGTGGCGGTCTCTCTTGAGCCGAAAACGACGCCCTCGATGGGCTTTGAAAACGGTGCGGTGCAAATCATGCGTGACAACTACACGTAGCGAACCGAACCAAATGGCTACCAGAGAAGTTCTTTGAGTGCTTGACCCTGAGTCACTGCAAACAAGGCGTAATCGCACTTGTTTTTTGGTGTGCGGCTGAGTTATCTCCTCGCACCGTTTTCAGGCGGAGTTACTGGGCAGAATGGCGTCAACGTGGAGGCGACAACAGCAAACACTCCATGTTACAAAATTTCAACTCTGCCTTGAATACGCTGAGCCCATTGGCAGTCGATTGTAACCACATAACGCAGAGGTTTCCATCGACACTCAATGTCATGTGAGCATGTACCGGGCAATCGAAACATACAAAATCCAACCCCCCTCACCAATCACAGTTAAACTGTTAACATCCAATCCCCAGTGGTAGACAAACCCCAGCAGCTCCACGTCGATAATAACCTGGCGTAAGGGGTGTAGGTGAGTGTGTTCGTTTGGTTATGCATGCATGTGCTTTGAGTCGCTTCATTGACCGCTTTAGTGGATTGCCTGAGAACATCATCGTGTGAGGGCGTACATGGCATGTGGCACGCTACACATACAAACCCGAGAGGGTCTGAGGTGTTAATTGACACCACCTGAAGGGATGGGAGGGGATATCACTGGTCACTCAGCCAAACAATCAAAGGCGATTGAGACGCTTCGAATATTGGGGCCCTTGTTGGATGATGTCACGTTTGCACGGTAGGTTTCGCGAGTGAAGAATGACTGAACCCTCGTCCCGCGAAACAAGCAAAGCAAGACAGGTTTCACTGTGCAACCAACCGTGTCGGGTGTCGGAAATATGGAGCGACGGAAAGTAGGTAGAGGAAAATAGAACCAAACGGTATCTACAAGCAAACAATATGCCGCCTTCGTTCTTCGAAGGTGCCTTGTGTGCCGTCTTCTCTGTCTCACTGGAGAGTGTCGACCCGGGGAAACGCAGATACTTCTTGCTTGTCACACATTGACGTTCGGACCTGTCCACGGTTTCAGCAGATAGATGTAAGCGAACGCCTGTTCCCTGCCCTCAACTGCTTCAGCCACGAATTCAGTTCAATCCAAAACTGGATGCTAATGCTTGCGGACCCGTGCCTTACCACGGTGAAGCATACCAGGGCGATGATCTTCCACCGACCCAATATGAAGACGCTGAAAACGGCCACTGCCACAAGAGCCATGACGTAGTTCATGATGAGCTCGTCGTAGATGACCAGAAACTGTCAAATTCGACCGTGGTGCGTGTGAGCTTTTTTACGTCAAAGTTCCCATCGATTCGAGTTCGTCCGGAGTCTAACATCTTGCATCCAATGACCACTGTACCTACCGAGCAACCAACCTGTTGCATAGCTGGCCCGGGACACACAGAAGGCGCGTGTTTCCAATCTCATCCTGAGACCGGTTCTTCAGCAATACTTTTTCTCTACACCACCCACGTCCTTGACCACCACAAGGGTCAAATATCTCCTTCGACCACGACCCTCGGTCCTAACTTTGCGCCTCATTCGATGTTTTGCCATTGTATACCATGGATCT